TGTCAGTCCCGACATCCTTCTCCTGGGCTTCTTCTAGCCGTGTCCTGTGCTCGTGCAGTTTCATTATTGTTGCCTGGGTTTTCTTTATGTACTTATCCAGGTGATCCTCCTCCTCTTCTGTGGTATCTGGAGCTTCATCAAAAGCCTTAGTTAGCTTTGTCAATGACGTTTCCAGAAGCTCGATATACCTCTCACAGGTTTTTATTCTCCCTGCGCTTTCCTTGGCTTGTATATCCGTGAGCGCTTGCGTGGAGTCCTGCAGCCAATTCATCGCTGCATCATTTCTTTTCGCGACGAGTCCTTTGAGGCATCTTACTGTGCTGGCCATGGTTAGTTGAGTTGGTTGTGTGAGATACTGTGGCTCGTTGTGCGGCAACTGTGACTCTTACTGTGAGGGGACCTGTGAGTTGACTGTGACTTGCTGTGTAATAGCTGTGCCAAACCCTGTGAGGTGCCGTGAGTAACGTGCAAATTGTTAGTCGGAAGCGTTACTCGTATGCAACAAATCGTAGCTCCGTTTGGCTGATGCACCACTTGTACGGTCGGTGAGTCAGTGTGTGTGGACTGTGATTGATTGGATGCCACGCGGGACTTACGCACAGCGAGTACACCTCAAAATTGGGTAATTAAACTTTGTTATAAAAATACTAAATAACAACTACAAAACGCTACGATAGTACATAAAGGGTATACAATATATGCTATCCGAGCAGCCTATGAGTTACTGTGAGGGGTTCTGTGAAAGAACTGTGATTTACTGTAAGAGATCCGTGAAGTAATGACTAAGGTAAGAAAGGCAAGAAATATCATACTGTGAGATACAACGAGAGAAAGGGAAAAATACATTATACAAACGTAAATATGTTCACTACACGATACCAACTACTTATATATGTAAGCGAATATAAACACACTCAAAACAAGCATGAGAAATCTATTGATAAGAACACCAAAGAACATAAATCTGTGAAATATTCGAGCCTCGGTCAAAGTTCGCCATCGCGCATTCCTCGGGACTCAAAGAACGATACGAACGTAAGTTCGTATAACTTCCTACCGTGCACCTATCATTATCAATTTTCGGGGAGACATTCTGCGGAGAAAGTGTGATATCTGTAATTAGAATGTAAGATAACCCTTATACAGTTGTGACAGTGGAATGTGAAAAATTTCGGCGAATTCGCCGAATTCGCCGAATTCGCCAAATTCGCCGATGTCGCCGAATTCGCCGATGTCGCCGATGTCGCCGACTTTGCGTCTTTTCGTCATAACTCCCTTCGTTTTCAATGGATTTCAAATTTGAAGGCAGATTTGGATTCAGCTCGCCAAGACGAATCTTTTCGTATATTGAACTGCTGTAATCGGCTCGGTCACGGTAAGTGCATGGTAGGAATCCGTTGCATCCTGTGGTGGTGTCTTCTAGAGTGTGTATTTCGGCGCATAATGTAGGCAAAGGTTTAAGATAAAGAGTGTTTGATGGAAGAGTTTCTGCAGAATGTTTCCAGCAAAAAACCATATCCTTTTTTGTAGTGGAAAAAAGAGAAAGGAGTACGTGAACTTAGTAAATATGCTTGAACCACTTACCGTCAAACAAATATAACTATACAGTAACATTACGATTAGCAAAACGGTTATAATCTTTGTAATCAGCATGTCTTGTTGCTTATGTGAGCAAAGTGACACACCGCATGACTCTATGATATTCTGCTTCCAGCAAAACTTCACTTTTTTCTGCAGACGCCTCTTTGCAACGCTGTGGGCCAGCCCCTTTCACACTTAAAAGATTCCGGTAAGGTGAATCGGAAAGAGTTGTTTCCGTAGATAATCCAGCGGTAAAAAGTAGACGGAGACATGCTTTATAAAGCGCGAAAAGAGATGGTGAATTCTGCAAAAATCACGCGCCTTTAAATTCTACTCGCCATAACTTCCTCCGGAATAAGTATATTCTGAATCCGAAAACGGTGCTGTGCTCAGCTCATCAAGGCGAATCTTTTGGTATACAGCATGTCCTTGATATTTCGATTTCAGTATTCTTGAATCTTTCTGAGGACGTCTTTTCGCGAAGGTGTAAAGCAGCGAGCATTGTCCCGAGTACATTCCAGCAAGGATGATACGATAGCACTTTTTCTATAGATCATAATGTGCTAAATAGTAGCCGCAGGTTTCTTTTCAAAGGGAATAGAACGGCTGGTGAATTGTGGAAAAATCTTGTCGTCTCAAATTCTACTCGCCATATCCGCAGGATACGAAGCTATCTTGCTAAGCAGATGTGATTATCGTAATCAGCAGGTCGGATAACCTCTATGAGCAAGTTTTCCGAGATGTCCGGGTTATTTCATTTTTTCTCGTTTTACGCTCTGGAAGCTCGCCGATAGATTTTGGTCAAAATGTTGATGCTCTTGAATTGTAAGGAAACTTCGCTTATAGAGGTTTTCGAACACGCTCTTTACGAAAATCGTGGTCTTTGAGGATTACAGTGTCTTTTTGGAGAGATACGGTGAGGTAACTGTAACTGCACCACGAAAGTGCGTAACTTTGCCCGCACTTCTCGCGTATCTCTCAGAAACCTTGCTTGCTTGCTTTTCTAAGTCAAAGTAAATAGGAACTGAGCTATCGAATGGTGCATGAATCGGGCTCCAGTCTATAAAATTCGCCGAGTTACGAGCCTACGAAAACACGTCCTCATGAAATTTGCACAAAATGTAAAGATCACGTACTTTGTTGAAATTCCACCGTGAGTGGTTGATTATGAAACGCGGGCGGGTAGAA